CCCTCTCTGTCCTTTCTCCCCTCTCCGTCCTTTCTCCCCTCTCTGTCTTTTCTCCCCTCTCTGTCCTTTCTCCCCTCTCTGTCCTCTCTCCCCTCTCTGTCCTTTCTCCCCTCTCCGTCCTTTCTCCCCTCTCCTTCCCTTCTCCCCTCTCTGTCCTTTCTCCCCTCTCTGTCCTTTCTCCCCTCTCTGTCCTTTCTCCCCTCTGTCCTTTCTCCCCTCTCTGTCCTTTCTCCCCTCTCTGTCCTCTCTCCCCTCTCTGTCCTTTCTCCCCTCTCTGTCCTTTCTCCCCTCTCTGTCCTTTCTCCCCTCTCTGTCCTCTCTCCCATCTCTGTCCTTTCTCCCCTCTCTGTCCTTTCTCCCGTCTCTGTCCTCTCTCCCCTCTCTGTCTTTTCTCCCCTCTCTGTCTTTTCTCCCCTCTCTGTCCTTTCTCCCCTCTCTGTCCTTTCTCCCCTCTCTGTCCTTTCCCCCCTCTCTGTCCTTTCTCCCGTCTCTGTCCTTTCTCCCGTCTCTGTCCTTTCTCCCGTCTCTGTCCTTTCTCCCGTCTCTGTCCTCTCTCCCCTCTCTGTCCTTTCTCCCCTCTCGGTCCTTTCTCCCCTCTCTGTCCTTTCTCCCCTCTCTGTCCTTTCTCCCCTCTCTGTCCTTTCTCCCCTCTCTGTCCTTTCTCCCCTCTCTGTCCTTTCTCCCCTCTCTGTCCTTTCTCCCCTCTCTGTCCTTTCTCCCCTCTCTGTCCTTTCTCCCCTCTCTGTCCTTTCTCCCCTCTCTGTCCTTTCTCCCTCTCTGTCCTTTCTCCCCTCTCTGTCCTTTCTCCCCTCTCTGTCCTTTCTCCCTCTCTGTCCTTCTCCCCTCTCTGTCCTCTCTCCCCTCTCTGTCCTCTCTCCCCTCTCTGTCCTCTCTCCCCTCTCTGTCTTTTCTCCCCTCTCTGTCTTTTCTCCCCTCTCTGTCTTTTCCCCCCTCTCTGTCTTCTCTCCCCTCTCTGTCCTTTCTCCCCTCTCTGTCTTTTCTCCCCTCTCTGTCCTTTCCCCCTCTCTGTCCTTTCTCCCCTCTCTGTCCTTTCTCCCCTCTCTGTCCTTTCTCCCCTCTGTCCTTTCTCCCCTCTCTGTCCTTTCTCCCCTCTCTGTCCTTTCTCCCCTCTCTGTCCTTTCTCCCCTCTCTGTCTTTTCTCCCCTCTCTGTCCTTTCTCCCCTCTCTGTCCTTTCTCCCCTCTCTGTCCTTTCCCCCCTCTCTGTCCTTTCTCCCCTCTCTGTCCTTTCTCCCCTCTCTGTCCTTTCTCCCCTCTCTGTCCTTTCTCCCCTCTCTGTCCTTTCTCCCCTCTCTGTCCTCTCTCCCCTCTCTGTCCTCTCTCCCCTCTCTGTCCTCTCTCCCCTCTCTGTCCTCTCTCCCCTCTCTGTCTTTTCCCCCCTCTCTGTCCTTTCTCCCCTCTCTGTCCTTTCTCCCCTCTCTGTCCTTTCTCCCCTCTCTGTCCTTTCTCCCCTCTCTGTCCTTTCTCCCCTCTCTGTCCTCTCTCCCCTCTCTGTCCTCTCTCCCCTCTCTGTCCTCTCTCCCCTCTCTGTCCTCTCTCCCCTCTCTGTCTTTTCCCCCCTCTCTGTCCTTTCTCCCCTCTCTGTCCTCTCTCCCCTCTCTGTCCTCTCTCCCCTCTCTGTCCTCTCTCCCCTCTCTGTCCTTTCTCCCCTCTCTGTCCTTTCTCCCCTCTCTGTCCTCTCTCCCCTCTCTGTCCTCTCTCCCCTCTCTGTCCTCTCTCCCCTCTCTGTCCTCTCTCCCCTCTCTGTCCTTTCTCCCCTCTCTGTCCTTTCTCCCCTCTCTGTCCTCTCTCCCCTCTCTGTCCTCTCTCCCCTCTCTGTCCTCTCTCCCCTCTCTGTCCTTTCCCCGCTCTCTGTCCTTTCTCCCCTCTCTGTCCTTTCTCCCCTCTCTGTCCTTTCTCCCCTCTGTCCTTTCTCCCCTCTCTGTCCTTTCTCCCCTCTCTGTCCTTTCTCCCCTCTCTGTCCTTTCTCCCCTCTCTGTCCTCTCTCCCCTCTCTGTCCTCTCTCCCCTCTCTGTCCTCTCTCCCCTCTCTGTCCTCTCTCCCCTCTCTGTCTTTTCCCCCCTCTCTGTCCTTTCTCCCCTCTCTGTCCTTTCTCCCCTCTCTGTCCTTTCTCCCCTCTCTGTCCTTTCTCCCCTCTCTGTCCTTTCTCCCCTCTCTGTCCTCTCTCCCCTCTCTGTCCTTTCTCCCCTCTCTGTCCTCTCTCCCCTCTCTGTCCTCTCTCCCCTCTCTGTCCTCTCTCCCCTCTCTGTCCTTTCTCCCCTCTCTGTCCTTTCTCCCCTCTCTGTCCTTTCTCCCCTCTCTGTCCTCTCTCCCCTCTCTGTCCTCTCTCCCCTCTCTGTCCTCTCTCCCCTCTCTGTCCTCTCTCCCCTCTCTGTCCTTTCCCCCCTCTCTGTCCTCTCTCCCCTCTCTGTCCTCTCTCCCCTCTCTGTCCTCTCTCCCCTCTCTGTCCTCTCTCCCCTCTCTGTCCTTTCTCCCCTCTCTGTCCTTTCTCCCTTCTCTGTCCTCTCTCCCCTCTCTGTCCTCTCTCCCCTCTCTGTCCTTTCTCCCCTCTCTGTCCTTTCTCCCCTCTCTGTCCTTTCTCCCCTCTCTGTCCTTTCTCCCCTCTCTGTCCTTTCCCCCCTCTCTGTCCTTTCTCCCCTCTCTGTCCTTTCTCCCCTCTCTGTCCTCTCTCCCCTCTCTGTCCTTTCTCCCCTCTCTGTCCTCTCTCCCCTCTCTGTCCTCTCTCCCCTCTCTGTCCTTTCTCCCCTCTCTGTCCTTTCTCCCCTCTCTGTCCTTTCTCCCCTCTCTGTCCTTTCTCCCCTCTCTGTCCTTTCTCCCCTCTCTGTCCTTTCTCCCCTCTCTGTCCTTTCTCCCCTCTCTGTCCTTTCTCCCCTCTCTGTCCTTTCTCCCCTCTGTCCTTTCTCCCCTCTCTGTCCTTTCTCCCCTCTCCTTCCCTTCTCCCCTCTCTGTCCTTTCTCCCCTCTCTGTCCTTTCTCCCCTCTCCGTCCTTTCTCCCCTCTCTGTCTTTTCTCCCCTCTCTGTCCTTTCTCCCCTCTCTGTCCTCTCTCCCCTCTCTGTCCTCTCTCCCCTCTCTGTCCTTTCTCCCCTCTCCGTCCTTTCTCCCCTCTCCTTCCCTTCTCCCCTCTCTGTCCTTTCTCCCCTCTCTGTCCTTTCTCCCCTCTCTGTCCTTTCTCCCCTCTGTCCTTTCTCCCCTCTCTGTCCTTTCTCCCCTCTCTGTCCTTTCTCCCCTCTCTGTCCTTTCTCCCCTCTCTGTCCTTTCTCCCCTCTCTGTCCTTTCTCCCCTCTCTGTCCTTTCTCCCCTCTCTGTCCTTTCTCCCCTCTCTGTCCTTTCTCCCCTCTCTGTCCTTTCTCCCCTCTCTGTCCTTTCTCCCCTCTCTGTCCTTTCTCCCCTCTCTGTCCTTTCTCCCCTCTCTGTCCTCTCTCCCCTCTCTGTCCTCTCTCCCCTCTCTGTCCTCTCTCCCCTCTCTGTCCTTTTTCCCCTCTCTGTCCTTTCCCCCCTCTCTGTCCTTTCTCCCCTCTCTGTCCTTTCTCCCCTCTCTGTCCTTTCTCCCCTCTCTGTCCTCTCTCCCCTCTCTGTCCTCTCTCCCCTCTCTGTCCTCTTTCCCCTCTCTGTCCTTTCCCCCCTCTCTGTCCTTTCTCCCCTCTCTGTCCTTTCTCCCCTCTCTGTCCTCTCTCCCCTCTCTGTCCTCTCTCCCCTCTCTGTCCTCTCTCCCCTCTCTGTCCTTTCTCCCTCTCCGTCCTTTCTCCCCTCTCCTTCCCTTCTCCCCTCTCTGTCCTTTCTCCCCTCTCTGTCCTTTCTCCCCTCTCCGTCCTTTCTCCCCTCTCTGTCCTTTCTCCCCTCTCCGTCCTTTCTCCCCTCTCCTTCCCTTCTCCCCTCTCTGTCCTCTCTCCCCTCTCTGTCCTCTCTCCCCTCTCTGTCCTCTCTCCCCTCTCTGTCCTTTTTCCCCTCTCTGTCCTTTCCCCCCTCTCTGTCCTTTCTCCCCTCTCTGTCCTTTCTCCCCTCTCTGTCCTTTCTCCCCTCTCTGTCCTCTCTCCCCTCTCTGTCCTCTCTCCCCTCTCTGTCCTCTCTCCCCTCTCTGTCCTCTCTCCCCTCTCTGTCCTCTCTCCCCTCTCTGTCCTTTTTCCCCTCTCTGTCCTTTCCCCCCTCTCTGTCCTTTCTCCCCTCTCTGTCCTTTCTCCCCTCTCTGTCCTTTCTCCCCTCTCTGTCCTCTCTCCCCTCTCTGTCCTCTCTCCCCTCTCTGTCCTCTCTCCCCTCTCTGTCCTCTCTCCCCTCTCTGTCCTTTCTCCCCTCTCTGTCCTTTCTCCCCTCTCTGTCCTTTCTCCCCTCTCTGTCCTTTCTCCCCTCTCTGTCCTTTCTCCCCTCTCTGTCCTCTCTCCCCTCTCTGTCCTCTCTCCCCTCTCTGTCTTTTCTCCCCTCTCTGTCCTTTCCCCCCTCTCTGTCCTTACTCCCCTCTCTGTCCTTTCTCCCCTCTCTGTCCTTACTCCCCTCTCTGTCCTTTCCCCCCTCTCTGTCCTTTCTCCCCTCTCTGTCCTTTCTCCCCTCTCTGTCCTCTCTCCCCTCTCTGTCCTCTCTCCCCTCTCTGTCCTCTCTCCCCTCTCTGTCCTCTCTCCCCTCTCTGTCCTTTCTCCCCTCTCTGTCCTTTCTCCCCTCTCTGTCCTTTCTCCCCTCTCTGTCCTTTCTCCCCTCTCTGTCCTTTCTCCCCTCTCTGTCCTTTCTCCCCTCTCTGTCCTCTCTCCCCTCTCTGTCCTCTCTCCCCTCTCTGTCCTTTCTCCCCTCTCTGTCCTTTCTCCCCTCTCTGTCCTTTCTCCCCTCTCTGTCCTTTCTCCCCTCTCTGTCCTTTCTCCCCTCTCTGTCCTTTCTCCCCTCTCTGTCCTTTCTCCCCTCTCTGTCCTTTCTCCCCTCTCTCTCCTTTCTCCCCTCTCTCTCCTTTCTCCCCTCTCTGTCCTCTCAACTCTTCTGCACACCCGTGTGCTCCCCCAGGTGGACTTCTCAATGACAGCGCACAACAAGCTCTTCTCATTGGTGGAGGAGCACGAGGCGGAGGGCGCACTGGAAGGGCTGGTGGCGAGGCGGCGACGGGACTTCACGGGGGAGTTCTTTGAGCACCTGCAGATCCTGTGCCATACCAACCATGATAACCCGCAGCGGCAGGATGGTGAGTGGAAGAAGGGCGAGGGGTACAAGGCGAGGGGTACAAGGCGAGGGGTACAAGGCGAGGGGTACAAGGCGAGGGGTACAAGGCGAGGGGTACAAGGCGAGGGGTACAAGGCGAGGGGTGCTGACCGGGTCTGCGAGGGACTTGAAGGGACTTGAAGGGACTTGAAGGGACTTGACGGGACTTGACGGGACTTGAAGGGACTTGACGGGACTTCACGGGGGAGTTCTTTGAGCACCTGCACATCCTGTGCCAGACCCACCATGATAACCCGCAGCGGCAAGGTGGTGAGTGGCGCAAGGGTGAGATTATGAGCGGCAGCTGGATGGCGAGAGACGAGACTTTCAGCTGTGAAAGGCAAGGGAGAGTGATTGGACACCTGCCGTGCGTGCAGCACCGTAGGAATCACTGCTATGTGCACTGCTGCGGGTGAGCGGGCACCTGCCGTGCATGGGTTGGCGCTCTCTGCGCGCCATGTTTCGCCCTTCTACCTCTGTTTCCTGGCCCACAACCAAGTTTGACCCTTTCGACTGGTTCCTGCCTGCCTCTTCTTGTTTCTTCCTGTCTCTACCTGCCTGCACCTGCAGTAGCAGTGGAGGCAGCTCAGACCAGGTTTGACCCTCTCTACCCGTCTGTACCTGTCTGATTGCCGTTTCTTTCCCTCTGCAGAGATTACTTCCCTGGCAGCCAAGTGTGTGACAGCGGTGGACATTCACGACAATGTGGAGGCAGACGAGGTGGCTCTGGAGGCGGCACAGGCCAAGTTTGACTCTCTTTACCTGTTTCAACCTGTCTCAACCTCCCTCAACCTGTCTGTACATATGTCCCATTATCCAATGCAGAGATCGCATCTCTGGCAGCCAAGTGTCTTACAGCGGTGGACATTCATGACAAGGTGGAGGCGGACGAGGTGGCGGTGGAGGCAGCTCAAGCCAAGTTTGACGACATCATGGGCAGTGGCAGCCTGGCAGAGGCGTGTGGGAAGATCGACCAGCTGGCGGCACGGCAGCAGCTGGACTCGACGCTCATGCTCATGATCACCAAGGCGTGGGCTGCTGCCAAGGAGAGCAACATGATGAAAGATGAGGTGAGGGAGCGAGGAGGGTGGGTGTGACATAATGCCTGTGTCTTTCTGTGGGGAGGTAGACCTGGCAGCAGCTGGACTCGACTCTCATGCTCATGATCACCAAGGTGTGGGCTGCTGCCAAGGAGAGCAACATGATGAAGGATGAGGTGCGATGGGGTGATGGAATGAAGGAGCAGAGAGGAGGGAGAGGATGGGAGAAAGGTAGAAGGGGTGGATGGGAGGGAGAAAGGTAGAGAGGGAGGGAGAAAGGTAGAGAGGGAGGGAGAAAGGTAGAGAGGGAGGGTTAAAGGTGGGACCCTGTGCCTTCACCATCCTTCCTCTTACCCGTGTGCCTTCACGTACCATCCTTCCTCTCACCCATGCCACGCCACCCCCGGATGTGAAGGACATCATGAAGCACATGTACAAAGAGGCGCATGTTGGCATGCCCATGCCTGCCTTCATGTACCATCCTTCCTCACAACCGCACCAACTCTTCAGGTGACGAAAATCAGTACCACCTACACGAGCAGGTGCAGATAATTATATGCATGCCTTACCCATGTACCTTGATGTACCATCCTTCCTCTCACCCATGCCACGCCACCCCCCCAGGTGAAGGACATCATGTACCATCTGTACAAGCAGGTGCGATCAACATGTGCATGACGCCTTACCCATGTGCCTACATGTACTTATTCTTTCTCACCCCCTCAGGTGAAGGACATCATGTATCATCTGTACAAGCAGGCGCAGATCAACATGCGCATGCTCGTGCCCAAGGAGGTGCGCATCCTGCGCCACGTACTCGCTATAGACGACCCCCGCCAGCAGCTCACAGAGCTCACCAACGCATTCTCGCCTGGAGGAGAACTTGAAGTGCAGAACGCTTCAGAAGACATGCTCTACACGTAAGCATAAAAGCCTGGCTTATCTAGCTCTTTTTCCTATCCTTATGTAGTCCGCTCTTTGGTCAGACTCATGCCTTTCTGGCACTTTAGCCTATGCCCACGATTTTTCATCTGTGGCTTGTTTGCTGCACCCTGCTGTTACTCTTGCTGTGCAGAACACCGGAGAAGCTTCTGGAGGTGATAGAACAGGTGCTGGATGCGTACTATGCGCAGCGCAGGCAGCAGAGCTCACTGATTGACGAGGCCAAGAAGCTCATGAACCCAGCAGTGATTGCCAGAATGGAGGTGCTGAAAGACGTCATAGTGGACCAGTTTATGTAGAGCCCTGCATGTGATGTCCACTCTCAGGGCTATGATTTCATATGAAAGTGGTAGAAACTTCATTTTCAGTGACGACCCCCGCCAGCAGCTCACTGAAGACCAACCCTAGGTTGGTTGATACCGTAATACGGTTATCCTGGTTGTGTAGCTGAACAACTGCTCCTTGAGCTGGTCAGTTTATTTTTTGGGCACCAGCTAACCCGCGCTAGCAGGATCCGTTCATCTGTACAGGCATAGAGGTAGTATACACAGGAAGACACTGCATCTCGAGGCTCCGAAGGAACATCAGCTGTGTATTATACTTGGGTGGTTGCTCAATCACCTGATAACAAGAATTACGAACAAATGGTATACCTGCGATTAACTTTCGTACATTTAAAAGAGTAGCATCGTCAAATACGGCCCTAAACAGCAGACAGGGCATTGTCTGACAGGTCAAATTGCTGCGCAAGGCGATCCAACTGACCCTTCACGCTCATGTCAATGAGTTGGGAGCCATCCTTGCCGTACTTCACGATGAAGCCAGCGATCAGCGACGAATCAACCACGTTCTTAAGCTTGATGTTCTTCGCCCCGGTCATGCTCTGCAGCTTCTTCGCGATCAAGGCCTGCTGCGAGTTCTCTAGCTTCACAGCCGAAGTCACAATGGCGACCTGAGTATCGGTGATGTCGCAGTACAGCTCCTCGAACACTGCGGCGATCTCCTTGAAGATGCCCATCCGCTTCTTGTCAACAAGAACGTTCAGGAAGTTGGCGGTATAGGCGTTGAAGCCGGCATCAGCTGCAAGGTTCTTAATCACTGACTTCTTCTGCTCGTCCGAAGCGACCGGGCTTGCCAAGAAGTTCGCAAGCTCGGCGTTGTTGATCATCCCAGACAGGGCCTCCACGTCCTTGTGGATGGCCTCAAGGGACTTGGTGGATTGGCCAAGCTCAATCAGGGCAGCTGCGTAGCCAGCAGCAGCAGGGGCCTTTGCCATGGTGACAACAGACCTGCAGGCCTTGCCAGCAGCAACTGGCACCTTGGCGACGAGGGCATTGCGACGAGCACCGCCGAAGAGGGTCGTCTTTGACGCAGCAACGGTGCTGCGAGCAGAGAAAGACTCTGAAGTCCTGGCAGCGGCAGCCACGCAAGGACAGGACACAACGTTCCTAGCAACAGCCTCCATTGCTGCAGGCGTTTGGTAAGGCTGCTGGGAGTGGATCGAGGCAGGAGATGGCCTCAGGAACGTGATGGGTCTGTTGAGAGGAAAATCAGGTCTTGGGGTTTCCTAGCAGCCGTGGGGTTTCCAACTCCAAGGTGCCAACGGAACAATGGGAGTCACAAGGGGTTGGAGGAGGGAGGGTGGCTGTCGCTGTGGCAGTCGTGGCTCAGGCAGGAGATTGTGAAAGGCTGATGGGAGGAGAGTGGATGGGGGCATGCCAGATGGGAGGCATGGAGTGGTGGAATTTTTTCAGATGCGAGCACACCTCATATAGCGGCTACACACGCCACGCTGGAATTTAGGTCCAGATAGATTCGTGAACCGTTGGATATAATAATCGAACGGCAAACACACAGTTCTTTACCCGTGCGTTATCCGAAATCCCGGGGATGCGCTCGATCAAACAGAAACTTACCCGATTTCGCCACGTCTGCAGTAAACAATGAGATCTGTGTCCATCAAATCACTATTCATTGCACAATTCGGTCAGTTGAACTGTCTGAGGGATGTACTTTCCAACTGCAAAGGTTGGGTGCAGGCATGGCATCATGGTCACACGTACTTTTCGACAAAGAAGCCTTGGATAATAAACCCCTAATGCAAGAGGGTACAAATTAAATATTCATCACAATAAAGGCAAGAAAACATAATATATTTTGCGCATATATATGTGGATACTTTAAACATTTATAATAGTCTTGTTTACATATGCTCGAAATGGAAATTTCATAACCTCGCCTCAACCATGAACTCTGTTGGAATAAACGAAATGATATTTGAACATTCATAAAGTATGGCACCATCGCATTACCTCATATAGGAGATGTACACCAGGGCCTGTGCTAGGATTTAGGGCACCCTGTGCCCTCAGGGCAACTTTTGAAATCTTTCCAAAGTACCTTGATTTTCCAGGGCAAAATTTCCTGGCCATCCTGAAATTTCAGGGCACCAGCAGAAATTCATCTGGGTGTTTTAAGGCAAAAAAATACAAGACACTAGAGTGGAGGGGAAGTCACGAGAGGAGCAGGTTGTTCAGTGTTTTCACTCCAACTGGCTGAGCAAAAACCTTGGAGGGGGAATGGTGGGGACAAAAGTAGCACACACGCCCCCCAACCTCCTTCCTCCCCTCTCCTCCCTTCCCCCTCTCCACCCCTTCTTCCCCTTCCCAAGAGTCAGGGCATCCCTCTACATTCACCCTAAAACTTCAGGACAAAATTTCACTGCCATTCTTTAATTTCAGGGCAAAACACATGAATGATCTGTCAATGGTCCACTGGTGATCCCCGATTGATCCTAGGGAAGGGTTACGGGCTCGTTGTCCTGGGGGGTTATGGGCGCACTGACCCGCTACTTAACAAGCCCTTTTATCCCAATGGTCTAGTGGTTGGGATTCTGACATGGTATCAGAGCGAAGGTCTCGGGTTCGAATCCCAGTGTGTGCACTTCGGGCATCCCAGTGCGGGGGGGTGTCAGAGGTCCACTGGTGATCCCCGATTGATCCTAGGGAAGGGTTACAGGCTCGTTGTCCTGGGGGGTTATGGGCGCACTGACCCGCTACTTAACAAGCCCTTTTATCCCAATGGTCTAGTGGTTGGGATTCTGACATCATCCTGATGAGACAGGGTAAATTTCAGCGTCATTCTGAAATTCCAGGGCAGACTTAAAATACCATCCTGAAATCAGGGTAATCAGGATGTTTTACCCTGATATCGTGGGCCCTGATGTACACTCCTTACTACCGTAAGCCCCCGGATAGAAGCGCAGGCCTATGATAAGCGCCGGCGCTTATAAAAGGCTAATGGCGCTTCTATCCGGTCCTCAATTATAAGCACACCCCTAACGACTTACGGATTATAAGCGCCACCCTCTGTAACAGTTTTTATTATTTTACTGGAAACGCTGTAACGAAACACAATTTCGCATCCCCACATTCAGAATTTCGAATCCCTTCACCCTCGCACGACTCTATGCCCTCGCGTCCAGTCGGAATGAGCTGTCATGGGGTCAATCTGATGTCAGAATAACTGTGCAGGAATGATTGGAATAGCAAGAGTTGGGGTACAAGCACTAACCCTACAAGTGTTGTACCCCATAAGGAGTACCCCACTATAGCCTACAAGTAAGATTGTACTTTGACACATCCCCATAGGCTAAGTGGGGGACAACAAGATGGTCACAAGACCAGTCAAGCAAGACAACAGAGCAAAGCAAAGCAAAGCTTAGGGTGGATCTCAAGGACACCACACAATCCGAGCACAAGCAAGCGACCACATGGCCAGTTCACATGCAGAGTTATAAGAGCAAGGCAGTACACTGATCACAACCTAGCAAGAGTAAATAAGCAGGTATAAAGATCTACATCAGTGTACAACAAGAGCAAGCAACCAGCAAGTGAGCCAGAGTGGGCACAAGCCCAAGAGCAGTGCAGAAACGCTGATGGTCACCAGACCCAAGGGCCTTGGTGAACACATCAGCAGTGTTGGCCCGCGAGGCCACGTAGGAAAGGCGGAGCTGACTCACTGCTGCAGCTCACTTGCAAGGAAGTAGCAAAGAGCAATGTGCTTTGTCCTGTGCTCCAGTCTCTGCTCGTGACACAAGGCAAGCATTGCCTTGTTCTCGACGTACAAAACTCGAGGAGAACGAGGCCGCTCCCCCAAGTCGGTCAGCATGGAGGTCAGCCAGCGTAGCTTCTATGCAGCCATGGCCCTAGCGTAGATCTCGGCCTCACAGCTAGAACTAAGCACGGAAGAAGAACGAGTGGACCTCAACGATATAGAACCAGAGCCAAGACTGAAGGTGTAACCCTGTGACGAACGCTGAATCACCTGGTCGTCGGCCCAAGAAGCGTCGGAGTGTCCTGTGAGTACCACTGAACCCTATCCTCCAAGCGCGAGCCCCATGCCTGATGTACTGCACAAGTAACGCAGTACCCTCTTTGCAACATCCCAGTGCACCTTTCATTGCCTACCGGGAGCCACGTAGCGAGCCAGGAGGCTGAGAGGGTACGCAAGGTTAGGTCGTGTGCACGTCATCAAGTACATGAGGCAACCCACAAGCTCTGGATACGGACCACTCGGCTCTACGGACTCTTCCGAAGGTGGAGCTGAGAGCAAATGGTCGGCAGACAGAGGAGTGGGCTGTGGCGAGGAGAAGTGGAAGGTGAAGTGCTGAAGGACCTGGTGCACCATGTGTGACTGAGTCAGGGTGATGGTGCGCCGTGCTCTGTCCCGGGTGATCTGCAAGCCAAAATAGCTACGCACCTCACCCAGGTCAGTGCAGGTGTGTCTCTCATGCAGCCCCGCCTTCACTAGGGCCAGCGCCTCTGTGTCAGCAGTAGCAAAAACCAAGTCATCAACGTACACGAGAATGTAGAATGGCGGCAGGGTAGTGTCGGTGCGTAGAAACAGCGATGGGCCAGCAGAGGAAGGAGCAAACCAAAGAGCCGCAAGTATAGTCCTCAGTGTCTCGTGCCACTCTCGGGGCGCCTGGCAAAAACCGTAGACTGGCCGCAGGAGGCTCCACTGGGTACTTGCAGGAAACGACCCAGTGAAGCCAGGTGGGCGGCGCAACCAGATCTCCTCAAGAAAGCTGTGGAGAAGTCGAGGGAGTGCAACTCGTAGTCACGCTGTGCTGCAACGTGCAGCAGCACCCGAAGAGTAGTCATCTTCGGGGTGGGGGAGAAGGTCTGGAAGAAGTTGTGAAGAATCAACAGGGATGAAATGAACTAGGAAAATGTGAGATACAAATATGAAACCTGTACCCCTTAGTGTCTACCCCACTACAGCCTACATAGGCTAA